ATGCCCCTAAAATCAATAAATTATCAATTTGATGAGTATAAATTTGACTATTTTTTTGATAATATTTACATGACTTGCAAATTGGCCTATTACCATTGGCTGATAGATCTAGAGTATATTTTTTCCTCTAAAATTGATGATTTGAGATGTAGTTTATAATTACTGAGATATGCCCCTAAAATCAATAAATTATCAATTTGATGAGTATAAATTTGACTATTTTTTTGATAATATTTACATGACTTGCAAATTGGCCTATTACCATTGGCTGATAGATCTAGAGTATATTTTTTCCTCTAAAATTGATGATTTGAGATGTAGTTTATAATTACTGAGATTTAGATGATAATTTTGCAAATACCCGTGATTTAACGGTTATGTATGCAAATAATCCTAAAATTTGTGATATTTTTCTGAAAAGTGAGTAAAAATTCATGATATTTTTGAAAAAAAAATAGCATACGCATTAAGAAAAATATGACACAAATTTCAGGCAAAATTTATGATGTACATGTGTGTATGTGCACACTACACACGTTTCTGTGATTGCATTTGTTTGGATCTATTTATTAGATTTCCTCCCAACTCACCCTATTATGTTCAAGTATTCCCTATTGACTTTTGTGGGTTGGCTTAAGAGCATGAGACAAGAAACATTAAAGAGCTCTTTTGAGCAAAAAGCCATGGATTGGTTGAACCACCACTCAAGAGGATATTGAGCATGGACCCCAATTGAGCTACTCATCCCACATTTGGACTCCAAATTTTATAATCAAATCACTGATTGGATTAGATTTGAGTGCCTCATGAGTGGAGAAGGTAAGAGCATCACAAGTAAAAGGATACATATTGGATAATGTATTAATGTCCCCATAGTTTTGATGACATTGTCATTTTCATGGAACAAGGCATCACCCTCCACCAACCTCTGCACAAGCCTAAAAAATAATGGAAGAGTGCTGCATTAGGTCATCTCTCATTGCTGTGAAGTGCAACTTTATCCAACTGAAAGCAACTTCGTATATAGAAGCTTTTTCACACAACGTATCATAACTACTTTGAATTCTTTAATAAAGTTTGTGCTTGAAGAGTTCTCATCATTATTCTCCTCTCTTTTATGGATTATTAAGTTAATGAGGCAAGGGTCTCTCGTTCCTTGTTAAATGCTTGTATTGTTTTTATGGGCCCACATATTCTAGACTTGGGTTTGCGTAAAAGAGGTTTCAATAGTCGGAATCAATAATCGTACATTAATTAGTGCTATACAAACAATTAATTAAATAAGAGTTTTCATGATAAGTTGGTATATGTTTGCTTAAATGAGAGACAACCATATTTAGATGGTTTGATTAAGTACAACGGAAATTACTAACTGGATTAGTTAGGGGATGTGACAAGATAATAGACTTTACGGTCAATGAGGCAAAGAAGAATAGAGATAGGTCCAAGTGAAATTAGTCGGAAGCAATTGAAAAGGATATAATAGTTAACGGAGGGAATGAACCTTAACAAAATTAGTAGTTGTTGTAGAAGGAGATACTCAAAGCCTATTTGATTAGGAATGGTGGGGTGCTAGAATTTTATCACAAATTTCATGGTAATTTTTCTATTTTTTATAATAAAAAGTATTATGTAATAGTTGTTTGTACAATAGTTTCATGATTTTTGTGTACATTAGCTTAGAATATATTTCTGTTCATAGACATTTAACAAGGCCAATCCTAGACCTTAACCATTGTTGAGCTAAATTGGAAATGCATAGTATCATTAAGAAAAGGTGCTAAATTTTGCCTCCTCAACTGCAAAGAAAGAGTAGACTATACGCTTGGAGAGTCAACACTAGAGCTATAGGATGGGAAACGTGAGGAAAGTCATCAAGCATATCCACAAATATAAAACTACATTTAGCTATTGCTTGCAAGGAGACTCTAAAGTCTTGACAAAATAATATGCCTTGTGAGAGGAAGTTGTCTTGTTCATCTCCTTGCCCGGGGCCTAAGTACAAGGGCTAATGATTGATCGAACATGTGTTAATTAAAGAATAAACCCATTAATTAGGAGAAAGAAGTAGTATAACTGAGGATAATGTCCGTACACTAACTATCGAATTAAGTCAAATGGTTATCGGGCAAAGGTGAAATAGGGCTAATTTCTTAATGCACGGATTTCCTGGCAATTAGTCATCGGGCTTCTCAACACTTAGATTAATCTAATCTTGGTCTCATCAGTTTAAAATGTCTGGTTGAAGAACTCTATACATAAAATTTGGCCAGATATGAAAAGTAGCATAGATTTAAAATTAGGGTTAATAGTGAGTAGACCCCTTGCAATATCACCCAATTGCAACTAGAGCCATTGTCGTTCTATTTGTGCGAAGGTACCCTTTGTAGTGTTGATCCAAGTGCAAGTACACCCCTTTAATAAACTTTTTGACTCTCTTAAAAATAAATTTTAAAAAAGCAGTTGACAATTGAACTATAGAAGGCTTATATATATGCCTCCTCAAAACATTCTTCACAGTTCTAAGAGCAAATAAAAATTCACTCGGGATGTCTATTCCCACAAATAGAACTACAATAAAGCTATTTACAACTGGGTGATACCGCGGGAGGTTTGTTTGCAATTAACCCTCCTGATGGAACTATAGGAGGTTTATATGCCTCCTCAAAATATATTTCACGATTTTAGGAGTAAATAAAAATTCACTCAGACCGTCTATTCCTATAAATAGAACTACAAAGAGGCTACTTGCAACTGGGTGATACTACAAGAGGTGTGTTCGCAATTAACCCTTAAATTATAACCACATCACTAAACGATGATTTGCATTAATGGATTTTCAAAGAATTCTGACTTCAATATTCTCTTTTCTGGTTTGATAAGGACTATAGCTCAGTTTTAAGTTTTAGATCTTTTGTAACCCGACCTTTTGAAAAAAAAATCTTTTTTTTTTTTGAAGTAAAAAAAAAAAAAACTTGTTGAGGTTTTCTTATAGAAAATTATACGATGAAGAAGTTGAATACATGTTTTCCACTATCTATTGTGAAGTTGATGATTACACACATTTATGTATTCATAGTAAGTAGGTAATTTGCGCGACACTTAATGACTGTATTATAATTGGT